AAATAAGTTTTATTTGTTGCAAGTGGCTTAAAATATAACTGAGATTAAAGCTACCATATTACTCTTTTTCAGTTCAGTTCAGATCCAGAGATTCTTGTAAAATTAATTTTTCACTGAGGGACAACATTGACTTGAGCATCAAATCTAGAAATATAAGTAACAGGGCCACAGCCCTCCTAATATTATTTAATTTTCTAAAAATATTTAAAACTCTATCTTCCATTTGGCATTGTACTTCTTGTTCATTACTAAGTCATAAGCCAGGATTTCATGTTTCCTGAATCCCTTTTCATTTAATAGTTTATAGCTGATCTGTTTCAAATGTCCATAGAACAAAGTATATTATACAATATAATTCTTCAATAGTTAAAAATTATTTAGTGTAGAACTTTGCATTTTAATTCTATGCTATATATATATAGCTTACAACAAAATTTAATGGATAAACATTTTCAGGAAACCAATACAATAAATTAAAACTTTTAAATAGAGGGCACAAAGTTATGCTGTCACAGGGCAGTCAAATAAGTGACTGTTTTTTCCTTACAGTATATTACACTGGGTACCTTGCTTCTGACTTGGTTTCTCCTATACTAGAAAAATATTAAAAAACGGGGATACTTATGCATCTTTAGAATGAGCTCAGATACTGTATCAGACAGACAATTCTTACAAATCTTCTACCTACTTAAATAAGAAGCAACCCATACCAACTGGAACAATTTTGCACAAGCATAACAGAAGGTGATTGGGGTCATTATGAAATTAAAATTAAGTTCTGGGATAACTTCATAGTGTTCTCCTCCCTTCTCCCCTCCAAGCAAATAAAAGAAAATAAAAGGCAGACCTGTACGAACATGGCTTGAAATCAACTATGAGGACTTAACAAGTTAGTTAGAAGGTAATGGAATTAAATCACATCTGATTATAAGTTCAACTTAATTATCAGTGCTATTAAAGAGTTATGTCTAGTTGAGTAAAACAGCTATTCTCAATAAAAGGATAAAACCAGGTATCAGCTTCTAATGACCTACCAGCATTTCGCAGTAAGATGCTAGTAAGTTACTAGTTGGAAGGAATGAAGGAATGTGTCAGATTTTTGATATAATTACAGCACAGCAGCATAAAACGCTCATTCATTAAGTTGGCAGAGGTGCTTTTGCTACAGAGAGTAGCACACAGGTACTTGTATAATGAAAGAAGGAATGGCCCCTTGTGGTAACATATTCCAAGCACCAAGGGCCATTTTAAAAATCTGAATCCATTAAGATAAATATGACAGGACAACACCACCCCATGGAATCATGAGTGCCTTTCACTGGATGTACGCTGTAAGTCTCAAGGCACTTAAGGGGTTAAGACAAAATGCATGCACTAGTTCCCATCACATAATCTGAAGTCACAAAAATCAGAATACACCAGTGTATGACACACAAGCTGTGCCAAAGAAATGCTGTTTAATTATGTGTTTTTATTTTAAAGTTTTTATTGTTATTATTTTGTACAAGATGCTGGTAAGTGGGCATTATGCAGCTACTGCTGGGTTAACAGACACCAGCTCTCCTCTAACAACCAGCTGGTCTCTAGTAAGGGTGTAGGACAAAGTGTGCTGCATCAGTAGGCAGTGTGTATCTATCTAGTATTGGCAATATTGCTAATGTTGTAAAAAACAAAACTGTGAGAGTCTGTACATAGTAAATAAACCTAGCACTGGAAAAAGACCATGGCTTAGTGTATTTTTTAATTTGTTTTTCATTTTAAGAGACATGGGTGTAAAACAGAGTGAAATAATTCCAAGCCTTGTTTGTAGCAATTCAACCAGAAGCGCAGTATATGGCACTACAATGAAATATCGTCCATTACCCTGAACACAATTAGTTCTTTCAGTTTATGGTTTGTTCGGAGCAAATCACGAAAATAAAGTCTTCAAACAGATGAAGGTTAGAAGAGTTTCAGAGACTGATTTTGTTTCAACGTAAAGTGCAACAGTGCTGAAGTTTTCAAAGTCCTTTGTCAATTCTTTGCTGTACTTCACTATCATTTCCTGCAAGCAGTATTATGGCACAACGAATGTTGCCAGTTCATTATAGAGGACAGGATTCCTCCACTGATATCATAGGTTTTTTGCTCTTTACTTATGCAGTGATGCTTATAAAGGTTTAATAAATCCTTCTTCATACACCTTCAAAATAGCTTCACATACAAATCTGTACTGACTCTGAAAAGGAAAGTAGATTCAGTAAATTGAAAAGAATTGTAATTGCAAAATGTCATTTGGAAACAGAAAAGGCCTCTAAAATTTCCCCACCCCATTCTCTTGACAGGCCAAGAACTGTGTTTCAAAGTTAGTTTAGGAAACATAATACAAAAGGAGCTTTAGATGAGAGCATTTTGTTTCTCAACAGAAGAATAGGATGAAAGGCACTTTGAAATATATACGAAAGTCATACCCAAAACCCCAGTATTATTATTACAACATCACCTATTTAGTAATTTTCTGCTCTTTATTTCCTTGCTGAAATGTCACTGACCTGAGGTTTCCATGCCCTTGGATTTAGAAGCCATAGTTTCAAAGTACTTTTTCATACTTACATTAACTCAGGCATGTTATGGCACCTCCCTGTCAGAATCTGATTTAAAAGAAATGTTTCATGTTTTAAAAACCCAGACCTCCTGTTTCTTAACATTGTATAATGTCTAACTCTTCAAGGCATCAAAGCCTAGCACCTGCATACACAGAGGTGACTAACAGTTTGTTTAATTTAAATAACAGTTTAAAAACCTGACGGTAATCAAATTAGACTATAATGAAAACAAACTGAAATAAATGCAAAGCGCGACAACTCACACTGCATCCTGCACAATGTGTCTATGCTGGTTAGACCTCCAGCACACCTGCACTGTCAGTGTTGTGGAACAGCCCCCTCTATGCAGCAGTTAGTGATGCCAGATCTTAAGAGACTAACATATGACCATATCTAGGAGTGGAGCCGTTATTTGCTGTCCTGTCCCGTGTATATGGAACAGTTCATTCTCTGCACTGGTGTAAAATCTGCGTTCGCCCCCGAGGGCGGCAGGGCTGGCCGTGCACAGCGCCCCCCCGCGGACAGCGAGCGAACCCCCGGCACGCACGGGCCCCGCTCCTTTGGCAGGAGGAGGAACGGGAACGGCTCATGGTCACAAAACCTTAAAAAAAACCCACACAACTCCTTTATCAGACCTTCTCACTCTGATGCACTAAACTTTTCACTGATGCACCTGCTTTTCACTCAATCTTGAAATATTTTGTTTTCTAAGAAAAATGAGGAGACCAGATTATATTGGGCACATAATGCGAAAAAAGGCAGTTAGGACCCTCACCACTGCAACTCCTACCTTTACTAATAACACTTTCTCCCCCTCTACATATGTTAGAGAGAGAGCTATCCATCCTGAAGAACTGTCACAAACAGCAAGAGCCATCCTTTGCTATTTTTCATGTATCATCACCTTTCTCATCCTTCCTGTGCTACCTGAATACAACAACTTTTTAGTGAAACATGAGTACTGGAACATGAATTCAGCAGCACTGAATGACTGATGAGCTAGAAATGGAGACACATACTTTTTGTCAGCCTTAATACTCTCTGAAGAACAAAAAAGTTTGATTCAAATTTTATTAGAGGAACAGCAGCAGGGACATGAAAATTACTACAGTAACTACCTTCAATTAATTGTGAGTCGATACTGGATCTAGTGCCTTTTCTCCTTCAAGATGCTTTCTCTCTAAATGCTGTGTACTGTGAGTAAAACTGCACCAATTACTCAAGATTACTCTTTCAAAAAAAACCAAACCAAAACAACAACAAAAAAAAAATCCTGGAACTATCCAATGTTTGGAACAACCAAAAATCTAAGGGTTTGTTTGTTTGTTTGGTTTTGGTTGCTTTTTTTTTTTTTTTCTGAAAGACAACACAACTCAACCTTTTCACCCTTTTTAGGTACTTTCTAAAAATGTAAAAACAAGCTGCTCTTTGTTATACTGCTCTATAAGCAATACCTGACTGATAAAATAATAAGTTTCTAAATCTGTTCTAAAACTCTTACAAGTCTGAAATATAATACATTAACTATCTCACAAAACCCAAACATTACAGGTGCATGAAAAATTATGGTATCTTAAGGTAAATCAAATGCCAGGAAAGCCCCAAAAGAATCCTTTAGCAAGCTACTGTTCTTAGACTAAGTGTAGTTAGGATTGCTTTGATGCATCTCACATGAGATTTAATTGAACTGATTTTTACAAATCTGATTTCTTTAATAATTTCCCTTTCAGTCATTAACAGAGCTTAATTGAGGCTTGTTTCCATTACAACTAAGGCAACATAAAATCACTGAACTTCATCACTGAAGTTTTTTCTTGCATGTCTTGGCTCTTTCTGTGTTTATCTTTTATACTACTCCCATTCCCATTCTTAACACCTGGAATTAGGCTCCTGCTTTCTTCTCTGAGTGATTTTTACACTCTGAAACTTGACCCTTTTTGTCATTATTTGCCAGGTATCCCTGAAACAGCTGATGCTTTTTTTTTCAAGTTTTCTCAGTAGAAATATAAATAAATGCTCCTTTCCAATATCCTTAAGAATTTATTTTTGCCTGGAGCCAAGGCTCCAGCTACACTGGGTAAAGGTAATCTCCACAATATGATCACCAAGTACATTAAAAATCTATCCAACATGACTGGATCATAGGAAATTATTGTTCTGCAACCCAGAACAGCAGGGATGATACTCACAGGTGTTTGGATCATCATGGCTCTTTGATCTCGCATGGTTCTTACAATATCTAGAGGATAAACAGGCTGATTGCACTCAATGAGACACATCGCTGTCTCCATCGTGATCAGAACTCCTGTGCGTCCAATCCCAGCACTGGAACAGCAACAGAAACACAAAGTGGAAAATGAAATCAAGTGCCTGGAGTTCATACTCAAAGACCTTCCCTCTCCTGGATTCTCAGGGTTGATCACTGTGGCTCCCACACTGCTGGGGCAGGGACTGGACTGGCTGTGTCTGTCTGGAAGCAGCCTCTGTCCTGCCTGAACAGAGCAAAACCCATCAGTACAGAACTGCCTTGGAAGAGGAACTGCCTCACCCAGCCACTCCCCTGAGCAGAACTGACAGAGATGTTTGTTAAGATCCCATTACAAACCACACTAACATCTAGAGGATAGCAAAACATGAGCATATGCTGGACACATCGTGTCAGTTTGACTGTTGCTGAAACAATGATTTCTGAAATGTGGGGCCAATAAAAAAATATTCATGTCCTTCAAATGGTACATACCTTCCTATTTCCAAGTTAAAAACCATTACTAGAAATCTCTGTAGGGTGACAATAAGAATTGTTTTCTTGTTATTAAAAGGAATACATGATAGCAATCCCTTTCAATGAAGTACCATAACATGCATATCTCAGAATGGCAAAATTATCAGAAGAGCTTACAGACAAATATTTTTTCCTTAAAAGTAAAACAAAACTAAAGATTCATCTGCTTTATTTTATATACACATAATGCTTTTCCAGAAGTAGCAAGCCCTAAAGACTGAATATTTAACCTTGAATTCAATGAACAGTTTCAAATTTTTCAGTTAATGTTGCACTTTTGAAATAGACAACATATGTTATCTCATACTGGAACATAGGGCAAAATACATATTTTGAAATGTCAGCATTATCCTAACTGACACAATAAATCAAAGTATTTGGATCTAAAGTGATTAATATAAACATTTTAAACGTTGAAAGTTACTTGTTCCGATTTTAAAGAGTTACTTCAAATTAAGTCTGGCTAAACTACTATTTAAATCTTTGTCCAGGAGGTGGCATTAAAGCTACTCTATATTTCAGTGATGTCATAAGAATTTTAAGACAAGTGCTGGTTATATAAAATGATTCCATTGTATTTATATTTCTAGAATTTATACGTATAGAACTTAAATGCAGAATGCTTTATCAAATCCAAGCACAAACAAACAGTAACTGTCAAAGAACCTAATGACTCATTTTATAATTTCAAAGGATTCAGAGGGCAACCATGATGGAAAATGTGATCATTTCCCTTTGACAAACATAAGGTAGTATAGGACTCTTCAGCTTAGTAAAAGAAATCACTGAGTGATGGAGTAGAACACTGAGACAGGGCATGGACAGGATGGGTGGTTCCCATCTCACCCTGAACAAGAATTAGAAACTGTTCAACAAAACTAGTACAACCTTGTAAAGATAAAAATAACCACATGATACAACATCAGAAACTAGTGATTTATGCAGCTCAATATAAGACCATTCCACCTCCTTAAGGTCTTGGTTGCCTTATTGTCGGAATCTGTGGGTATTGGTGATTCCGAGATTGTAGAAAGTCTCTGTCTTTCTGCCCCGTTGCCAAAGAAGAAGCCATAGTTCGTCTGTGCTGGTTTCAAGGTTGTTTATTTTTGCTTATCTATAACAAGTTCTGCTGCCCTGCCGCAGCTCTGTCCTGCAGGGCAGCGTGCGGGGCTCTGCCCCTCAGTGGGATGGTACAAACATTATATACCAGAAATTACGTGTACTATATTTACAATAATGTGCCAATATCTATCATCTACGTTGAACAGTGTGTCCCTAGCCTAAACCAATAGAAAAATGCCAACATCACCAAGAACATGGAGGTAAGGAAGAAGAAGGAGGAAGAACAGGTTCAGGCCCACTTTCCTCCATCTTAGAACTCCTGACCCCCCTGTACAAAGTAAAACCCCCCTGTACAGGTGTTAAAACCCCCCTGTACAATACTAAAAAATTTTACCCTCTAATTTGTGACTACTTTTACTGTATCATCTAACCCTCTGTGACTGCTTGTTCCACCTTTAAAGTTGGTAATTCATTCCATGGTTCAAACTCAAAATCACAGCTGTTTTCTGCTGTTTGCCAGGGTCTAAAATGCTTCTGACCAAGGCCTGGAACCTCTAAAAATGTCTGAGGGACATTTTGAGTTCCGACACCTTATAACCTCTGTGAGTTTGGACCATTTTATCTTTAATTTATTATTATTGTACAAAATAAAATAATTTTCTTTTAGCTACTTGGATTCTTCACACTAAAGCTGGTAGCTTAGTCCTGAAAACAAATTTTGTTGCACTAATGCCCTGTCCTATTACACTGAAGAGATGTTAAAAATAGAATGAATGCACCATATGGAGGAACACCTGGGCTCCTTCTGCTTGACTCCCTGCTGGAATTGGTTATACTTCCCAACAGCCACCAAGTTGGGCCAATTAAGTAAATTATGTTCAACTGTGGTAATCCATCTCTTTTCTTCTGTCAAACATAAATTTTTCATAAAGCTTCAATTACACATTGAAATTATCCGTTTGGAGCTGAACTGGTGCCTCCCTGGGATGAATGAAACAGTTCCTACTCTCCATTGTTGTTCCAGTGTTTCTGCACTGTTTATATCATAGAGGGTATAGTTGGCTGCCGTCTTCACCATCTTTTCACAACCATATTAACCTAAAGTATATCAATAATGGAAGCTGAGAAGCAGTATCAGTTAAGACACTGGTATTCTGGTACTAGTTTCCCTAGTCAGTTAGATTCACCCTGACATGCATAAAAGAGAACTTGGGAGCAGAACTAATGAAATACAATTTCTGATACACAAAGTGTATTTTTCTTTTTCTTTCATCTCCTTCAATACATACCTAGTTTACTTGTAGTCTTTAAATTTATTTTATCTCTTACACTTCTCAGCTTCTCTCTGAAAAGAATGATATATGCCTGACTCAGGAACACTGACTCTCTGGGGAGTATTCAGAATATATATGTATATTATTCACAGAACTGTTCCCCAAGAACTGTGGTAGCACATGTTCATCTGAAAACAACTGGTATTATTCTAGTTTGCTAATCAGGTATTGTAAAATTATTAAGATCTTGAAATTTGCTACAGGAATGGAGATGCTATTACAAAGTATTGCACAAGGAAAAGAAAAATCACATTTAATGTGTATGTAAAGATCTAAACAACAGTTATTTTAACTTATAACAAAGGTAAATTGTTGAGAAAAATGTCTCATCTTAAAGTAAGCATCACAATACCACATAGCCCAAGACTGCAGACTCGAGAGAAAATGTCTTTTAATTGATCTTTTAATAAACCACCCGCATTTTCCACTACGGATCATTTACACAGCTATTCTAGAGCTTTGTAGAATAGGAACCTATTCCTCATGGTTACCAAGTATCTTTTGCCATTTCCCTCAATTATTATTCTGCAGATTGCAACCACAAGCATTTAAATTGCAAACAAAACAAAACATCCCAGCAAAATGCCTGAACAGAGCAACATATGTTGCTATTCAAAATCTTGCTTATTGAAATGTGATTACTACATTAAATATTTGTTTTATTTCAAGGTTGAGTTTTTCTGTCATCCCCAAAGCAGATAATGTTAAATATTTATTTCAAGAACAAAGCACAGAACAGCTATTTGATGATAAAAATAGTTTTGATGATTTAATAAAACTGGAAAGAAATTTGATACCTGCAGTGAACAACAACAGGTTCTTCTCTGCCAGCCCTCTTCTTTCGCACAAGACACACGAAATCGAGGAAGTCGCTGGAATCATCAGGAACCCCATGATCAGGCCATGCTATGTACTGGATTTGGGTTAGCTGGCGGCTTTCCTCTTTCTAATCAGACACATGAAATTCAGTCAAGGGTAATTCAAGTCCCATAAAAAAAAAGCATCAAAAATAGTAATTAAAAAAGTCAACAGTACATTCACACCAACTTGTACCCATAATCAAAGTGGCTTCAGTGCTTTCAACTAGCAGTGCTTTATTAGTGCTAACCATCGGTCAATCCTGGATTTTACAATTACATTTTCTTTTTTTTTTTTTTTTGCTTAAAAGTAAAAAAGGGAATCCACAAATGCTTGCATCTTCAACAGGTGAAAAAAAATACAGAGCACATAATAGCAAAGCAGTTAAGGACACCAGCAATCTTAACTGAACACTAGATGTACAAGAAGGTGGTGGTCATATTCTTAGCAAACCAAATTTAACAGAACGAGGTAGCATCTTACAAGATCAAATGACAGAAGTGGGGTATTGAGGGGAGATCAGACATAAAAGCTTTCCTTCAGACCATGTGTGAACAGCAGCAGTGTTTTGGCTTGCTCTGACCCTCCTGCACCTACAAGGCACAATGATTTTGTTTTCTACTCCCTCCTGGCCCTTGCTCTGGTATCACAAATATAATCAATCGGTCTCTGGTTAGGGGAGGGGACAGCCCGGGGAACCAGAGTCGAATTTCAAAAGAAGGGGAGCTACTGCACTTTAAATAGCCTTTAGGCACTGAATCATTAACAGAGATTCCACGGCTGATAGCAGATGAGCAATTGTCTCAAGAGGACACAGGGCAGGAATTTTAACTGCAAATTGACTAAAAGGCAGCTCTATAAACTGGCTTCTCAACCGGTAACTCAAGCAGGAGAAATAACTGTGAATTAAATTCCAGATACTCATTTCCAAACATTTCTGACATTGAAATGCTGGCTGGGGAGGCTCTGAAAACTACACATGCCCTGAAAGTCATGCAATGCATTTTCAAAAAGGTCCTTTTTTACATGTAGTCACAACTCCAGATTCATCTTTCAGCAGGATTTATTTTCCATATTCTTGCACATATTGTTCAAGATGGAATTATTAAGAACTATTTGCCTCTACAAAGACTTCATATAATCCGTGTTATGATGAAACAGCTCTAATGTCTCATGTTCCGAAAACATCAAGGCAATAATAAGTTTCTCAACTTCTTTTATTACTCTTTTTCTTTGGCCAGGTTATGAAAGACACGAATAAAAACTTTTAGGATAAATAATATATCCTTCATGTGACTCAATTAATATGATTTTGAAAAATGAATCTCTGTGATATTTTTGCTTATGAAAGGTTTGTTACCATTCTATAGACAGAATTTCTCCTAAGAAAGTACATGACAATGAGTAGATTTCTAGAGGGTTCTAGAAATAAACAGTGCCATTTACATGGATATGCCACCAAGTTGAAAAGAAAATCTACGTATGTTATAGGTAGTTTCCAAGAATCCTGCAGATTAATACATGAAAATATATTAAGATTTTACCTCCAGATTAGTCAATGTCATTTCTCGAAAGACATAAGCAGGATTTCCTTCTTCTGAATGGCAGGTAATCTGAAAATTTCCATATGATGAGCTTCCTGATGGCTCTGGCCAGTACTGATGGCATTTAACCTAAGGTCAACACATTTTTAAAAATGCCTGTGTTTAAATTCAGAGTATAATTTTCATTTTCTCTAAATTTTATACCTTTATTTGTTACAGATTATTTTGATCATTTTGTAAACACTGTTTAATTACTTACCAAACAGACTTTGTTACCTAATTACTGTTTATAAAATAAGGTATCACAGATTTCCTGTTTCTTTTTCCAAGAGGACACATGCACCAGCTCTTTCAGCTAGTTTAACTGAAGATGGATGCCTTTAACTTCCATGACAATTTTCAAAGACTTTATCTATAAATAGTCCATCTTCACACTTGACTGACAAAGATGCTGCTTTATAAATATTTCTGACCTCCAAAATCCTAATCTGATCTTCTCAAAGTACATTTATATGGGAAAAGAACAAACAAAAAAAAAGGGAAATACGTAACAAAAAAGTTGCTAAGCTAATGCAGAAAATAAGGGGATGAAGACGGTGGACTTCAAGGACTCCCAATCAAACCCTCAAATGTGAATGAAAACTTCAAACACTATGATTTTCTGATATATGGTTTGAATGCCTAATTACAGAGGTAATTTCAGCTCAAGTGTACTTTTGCAGTTCCAACCCACCTGGCGAACCTTTAAGAGCAGCCAGATTTGCAGACTTCCTGCTCCACTGAGACATCCCGGCATGCAGTGGGATAGTGATGTCAGAAGCCTCATGATCAGCTTTAGAGCAGGGAGTCTGCCTATGGGTATAAGACAAATAAGTCCTTTTATTTCATTATTAGGCAGCTCTCCAAAGAACTCCACAAATATCATTATTGAAGGGGTGGGGGAACCTCAGAGAACTGCTATTGCAAGTCTGTTCTTAGCAGATCTGCAAAGAAAACTCAAAGTAAAAGGGCACTTGTACTGAAATTCCCTTTAATCGTGTTTATTTGGGAGCAGGCAGCATCATGCAAACATTGAGTCACTGAAAAATGGTTTAAAACCACTGCAACTTCCCTTCAATTATTCTAATTCTATTTTGAGACCTGACCTCACAGCAAGTATATGGTTGTTAAAAAGTCAGAATATACACAGACAGCAGAACTACAACCTAAGTTGATCAGAATAGCCACAATCCACTACAAATCCATCTTCAAAAGAAATCCTGATATAGAGGAATTCCACTACACTTTTAGTGCAGTCATTTCTGTCCACACACTTAACCAGCCAGTGGTACTGTGAATGCTCCAGACTAAACCAAGTAACTCTGGAATCACACTGTGTGTATGACCACACTTGATTGTTTTGCCTATCTCCAAAGGATAGAACTGCATGAAATCCAAAGCTATTAAGGAGAAACTACAGCTTAAACCAAAACCAAACAAGCCACAAAGTACACCTGAGGCCTTTTACAGCACCATACACAATTATTTTTACTAATTTTAACTCTCAATTACTCTATTACTAGTATTCTATTTTAACACATTTTATATACAAATTACAGGACAATGATTATTTCACATGATTAAGGCAAATCTTTATAACAGAATAACATTTTATGGAAAATTTTAGAGTTCAGGTTTTAAGAAAATCCTTGATAAAACAGCCACCCAGGTATAGTATATTAACACTACAAAGCTGTGTTGGGCTGCCTTAAAAATTAATCTCACTACTGATGCAACTTCTTGGAGTTCCTTCATTTGAAGTTTAGAGAAAAAAAGTTCTATGAAGCTAAATTCTAGGTGCTTTTTACTTTACAATAAATAATCAAACAAAGCAGACTGAAAGTATTTGAGGAAATACATGAAGAGTTAAGTGCATTTCAGGACTGAAAAAAGTTTAATTATTAGCTGCATTAACAACAACAGAGTGTTTAAAATCTAAGACTCATCACTGCAAAAGAACTAGGAATGCACTGGTCTTATGAAAAACAGTTACAGCATGATAGAACAGTTCTGGTTGGAAGGTACCTTTAAAGGCCATCCAGTGCAGCCCCCTGCAATGAGCAGGGACATCTCCAGCTAGACTGAATTGCTCTGAGCCCCATCCAACCTGACGTTCAGTGTTTCCAGAGATGGACATTCATCACCTCTCTGGACAACTTGTGCCACTATTTCACCACCCACATTGTTAAAATCTCTTCCTTACATCTACTCTACCTACTTTTTCTAGTTTAAAATCACATCCTCCTATCCCCTTGACATATTATATGCCACCACAATATATTCCTCTAATCTTTTAAAGGCTAATCACTAACTTACTTAGAAGATTATGGAAGTGGTATTTAAGGAAATGTTTACTTACTCTGCCCCGTTCCACTTGAGTTGTTAACATCACAACCATAGAAGAGCCTTGCTCCCAAGTCATCTGCCAAAAATCAGGACAAGTGTTCGGTAATGGACCTTGGCAAGCAATGTACTGGTTTATTATTGTGGAAGAAGGGATTTCCATCTAAGAGAAGACAAATTCATTATTGCAATTCCTACAGCAAATGAAAGTCAGGCATCAGACATTTACAGTTTAGTAACTAATTTTTAAAAAAGCATCCATGATATTAGTTCTATTTCTTAAAGGATAGCAAATACGAATTGGCACAGATAAAAATTCTTCAAGTGTTTCACATGCAAAATTACTACAAAGATTCAAATACACTTTACATATGAACTTGTAGTCATGTAGTTGCCATAATAAAGATTAGTGGGTGAAAAAAGAAATTACAGAACAATTGGAAAATAATTCAGGTGCAAATATTTCTTGCTCTGTGGGTTTTTGACACCAGCTTTTAAAACACAGATCTCGGAATTTAATATCTGGGGTTTTTTTCATTACCGTAAATAGATGTAATTTTTTTTCCTTACTAACAATGAAAAAAACAAGATGCAAAAGAAACTGATGCCAAATTAAACTTTACTGTTGTTGAATACAACTGTTGGAAAAGTAATCAGGAAAGAAGAATTAATTGCTCTGGAGAGGGCTGGCTTCAGAATGCATTTTTTAACATTAAATGCAGGGCTAGACTTTAACATATATGAAAAGACGTGCCAAAAACATTAGGAAGCAAACATCTAGAGGAAATTTCAAATCACCTGACTAGAGGTTTAGTAGCCATTCTAGCCTGAACTAGATTTATATAAAAAAAGATTTTTTAAATCAATTTTTTTCATTGAAAAACTGTAGAATTACTTAATGTCAGAAGCACTTCTGAAAAGTACTACTCACATTTATATAATTTGCATTGATGTAATCTTCATTACTTTTTAAAATAACCCGTGTAGCATCATCTGAAAAGAATT